AAAAGAAACTGAAAAAAAAAAAATGCATATCCGAGGCTCCCAGGTCCGAGAAGACTATGCATGTGAGCGGGAGCACCTGTCTGTCTTTCTCTCTGAGGTTCAAGTTTTGAGGACCTGGCTTAGCATCGAAGTCTCCTACCTGCTTGATGGTACTGAGGTTGGCATTGCGGGACACAGGGAAGTTCAGATAGACGCCCGTGGGCAGCAAGAAGTCAACCACCACGCTCTGGTTCTCCTCCTTGGTCCAGAATTCCATGGGGCAGTCAACCCCCGGGGGCATCCTGCCCTACCTTTCAGGCGCCAGCTGCCCTGGGAAGGGAAACAAAGGTGGAGTCAGTGAGCACAAGTGTTCTGGGAAAACCAGGGACCCATGATGACGACTGGAGGCTCAAGGGTAAGCTCCCACCCACAGACACACGAAGATGGCTTCCCTCAGGCCTCGCCCTGTCCAGGGTGGTTTGTGGCTCCTGCCACCCTCAGCCACCATCTGGGCTGAGCCGCCTGTCATCACAGAGGGGACACGCTGGCTGCATCCCACACGACAAAGCACCAAACCATGACACCAGTAGTCTCACACCAGTCCTTTCCTCCCAGGGACCTGCAAGGTCCAGCCATGGCCACCAGCGGGTCGGACAACCCAGGACATTAGACGGACTTGAAGGTGACATTTCCTAGCTAGAAACCAAATGGCTTTGGGTGTGTACAACCAGAGACAGGCAGGCCAGTGCTCCTGGTAAAACTTCTCATAATAACTGAAAGGTGGAGATGACCCAATGCCCCTCAGCTGCGGGAAGGATAAACACCAGGTGGGGCATGCCCACGATGGACCACGACACCCCGGGGAGGAGGGACGGAGTCCTGCTGCATGCTCTGGCAGGGGAGGGCCCGGAAACATCATGCCGAGGGAAGCGCATCTGGGCAAACGTTGCGCAATCTTGTTTAAATGAAACAAGCAAATTGGAGCTAGAACCCCAATTGTTCCTGGTTACCAGGGGTGGGAGGAAGAGGCTAAGGGGGAGTCTTTGCTTAGGGGCCATTGAGTCGATATGAATAGTGGTTAACGGAACGATTTGGAAAAGGTTATTACTTTCCATGAGAGCAGTGTTTCCAAAGGTGGGAGGGATCCTCCCTCGGGAGGCACTAGAACAGTCCTTTGCACCCACTAGGCTGCAAAAGCAGATGCCTACATCTGACCCTGGATTATGGGCTGCAGTTCCCAAGTTTTTAAATGGGGGGGGGGGGGGCACTGCACTGAGTGATTTGGTGGGTTTTTTTCCTGAAAAGGAGCTGGTAGGCCAAATAGGTTTGGGAACTTAGGAACTAGAGGCAATTCCGTGTCACTGAAGTGCACATGTAGAAATTGTTGAATCGGTGTATGTTTTGTTGTGTACAGTCTCACCAAAATTTTTTAAAAGAGAGGAGAAAACAAACAAACAAACCAGGAAGGGGATGAATGATTTCAGCAGGGTAAAACTTTTTTGAAATTTCTCAGTCGTGCCAAAATATAAACAAACCCATGTGCTATTTCCCAGTAAGTAGCAAAATGCTCCAGACACAAGGACAAGATTTCCTACCCCCCAAGTCACATTACTGCCACTTGGAATCGGGAGGTTTATCATCTTCCTGCAAGTGTTAAGATTTTATACACAGATGTAGCCATCAGACTCTATGCATCTTGGGGGAGCGCTAGTCTATCTCTCTCTCTCTCTCTCTCTCCCCTGCTCTCTGAAGATCCTTAAGGCAAGTTTCTACTTTCGCAGGGTTGTTCGACATGGTGCTAATGTTTATATGCTTCCTCTGTGTTCGCTGCGGGTCCCGGGCAGTGCTGTCCAACGGAAATACTGGGAACCGCAGCTGCAGGGTCAGGACAATGAGACGGGGAGACGGCAGAGGTCGGTCTCAGGAGAAGAAATACAACCAGAACCTTTCTTATTTTGGCCTAGCTTATTTGGCCATGTCATCAGGAAAGTCCGAAGGGCAGAGAAGGGCATCACAGAGGGCAGAGGGATCAGCAAAAATGAGGGGGAACACTCAGGGAGATGAACTGAAACCACAGTCCAACAAGGGACCGGAGACATGCCAGTGGTTAGGAGGATGGCAGAGGACCAGGCTACGCCCCACGCAGTCACCATGAGTCAGAGCCGGCGTGGTGGCAACCAGCCATCACCGTCACCCGAAACAGAGTAAAGGGACAGGCACAATTCATCCCAATGGTGTGTTTTATTCAGCCCTAGGTGCCCACACTATTGTATGTATGTGTGTGTGCCCCCACGGTTTGGTCTTCTAAACCTGTAATCAGGGTTGAAAACCCACTAATAAAATGGTTGGGCAGTGCTGTGTGGAAGGAGGGAAGGTCAGCATTGCCTGTGACAAGGATGGAGGGGGCCTTGGGCCCTGAAACACGTAGACAGTTACGGCATTACCACCGGCTTTGTGGCCTCTGACCCCAGGTTTCTGGACAAAAGAACCGTACCCTTGACATTTTGTCACCTGCTAGTTTCCCTAAGAAATCCCCAATGAGGGGTGGGGGAGGGAGGGATATAGTTTGACACTCTCTTTCTATTTGTGCAGGCATTCAGTCTTTGAAATGTGTACTTAACACAAGGCGATTTGGACCCTAAATTTCCATCAAAAATATTTGATTTGCATACAGCTTTCCTATCATTTACGAGTGAAAAAGTCAGCCCAGGGACCCGAGTTGTTCCACACACGCTCACAAGTTCTCCACCAGCAGACTCCAGTATCAAGAGTCACGTGAAAACGAATTAAGTGAGTCCTTACAAACAGGAGCTCCTCGGGGGCACAGGGGGCTAGGGACGTCCCTATTGGGCAGCAGAGGTCTAGGGTTTGTACTTCTGAGTGGAGCTGTCCTCATACGTAGCTGCCCTCGAGCGGCCCCGAGTATGGCTACGCGCGCACAACGGAATGAAACGCTGCCCAGTCCAGCACCATCCGCATGACTGGTTGCCAATCAAGACTGTTGTGAATCATGGCGTTTCCATTGGCCATTCCAGTTTTCAGAAATAGAGGGGCTTCCTAGTTGCTTCCGTCTGGAAATGCCACGCGGACAGGTGTGGCGGCTCCTCAAGTGCATTGGCCAGAACCAGACCGTGGACTCGTGCACAGAAGGGGAGAGTCTTACCCAAGAATTGCTACTGTCTCCATTCTGCAAGTGACTTATCTCATTGCCTATATTAAAACATCGCTAATTGTCTTCCGATGTGTCAGCCCCGTTTAATGATCACCCACCACTGTTCTGTAGTGTTTACATTCCCATGTCTTCGCCAGCACTTAGTACTGTCAGACCTTCTCACTTTGACTGCTATGGCAGATGGACAATAAATGGCCCCCTGTTGTTGCATTTGCATTGTCCCTGTAATCATGTCTCTCTTGCAAATTGCCTGCTTCTAATCGGTGCCTATTGTCTACGGGTTGTGTTTTTCTTCCTGGTCTGTATGTACTCATTTGCCTTCTAGACTTAGTTCGTTTGTTGGAAGTAGCTTCTTCTAGAGTGATCGTTTCACTTGGTTTCTTTCGATGAGTACAAGTTTTTAGTTTAGAGGCTGTGGAATTTAGCCATCTTTTCCTCTAGTTTATTACCTCTTTTTTCCCCTTCTTTACTGTAAGGTCACATTTTCCTAGGCTTAAGTGGCTTTTCACAACAGTTGAAAGGAAATGCTTAGTTTAGGAGAAAAGTGGCTTGGTGGCTGCGCCAGCTGAACCAAGGCCTCACCCTCTGCTCTGAGCAGTGGCCCACGCATCGCCCGGCGCAGCCATGTCCCCACTGCTGGCATTCGCTTCCTCCGATTGTAAAACCACATCCGAGCTGGGTTCCTCTTTCTGAGACTGATCAGGCCAAAGGCTTTCTTTTTGATTCAGAACTTGGGGGCTTGGGGGGTGGGGGGACGGGACCGTCAAGAATCCTCGAGAATCCACTACAATCCTAACTCTACTTTGGTCAAACTTGAGAACCCAGTGCCCACCTTTGGACACTCAATAATCCTATGAGGCGAGGATGCCCTGGACCCCCAGGGACTCTCATCAAAGGACTCAGGTTCCAAAGAGAGGATCCCCCACCTCCCTGGTGGTTGGCAGTGGCCACCCAAAGGGCCTTCTCTCATGGCCCCTCCATGACCAACGGAATGGAATGTGGCCCAGCCCCTTCTGCACTAGCTCCATGGTGACCCCTGTGACAGGGGTCCCGTTGGCTAATTCCCAGAAGCAGACTGCCAGGACCCTATTCCTAGCCCGCCCTACCCTAGAGCAGCGGTTCTCCCTCTGTCTGCTGATTCATCACGGTAGCCAAATGACAGTGAAGTCGCAATGGAAATACTGTTATGGCTGGGGGCCACCCCCACACGAGGAGCTGCATGAGAGGGCCACGGCCTGAGGGAGGTGGAGAACCACTGTTCCAGAAGCTCCACTGCAACCTCTTCTGTCCACATCGTAGCAACACTGGCGGGGAATGGAAAGGCGAGAGTCCTGGCCTCTGAACCACCACACAGGGGACACTCTGGAAATGGAGCCTTCGACTAACTCACGCATGTGCGACACAGGGGAAACTTTCATATAAAACAAAACCAAAACACCAACAACTCTCTCCTGAACGAGGGAGATAGAAGGCCGGCAGTTCAAAACCACCAGCTGCTCTATGGGAGAAAGATGAGGCTGTCTGCCCCCATAGACATTTACAGCCTCAGAAATCCTCGGGAGCAGGTCCATTGTGCCTCTAGGATTGGTCTGCGTTGGAATCAAGAACAGTGGGTCGGTGTGATTGTCATTAAGTGACATCGAGTCAGTTCCAACCCAGAGCGACCCTGTGCACAACAGAACAAACAGCGCCCGGTCCTGCGCCGTCCTCACAAGGTTCCGGTGTCTGAGCCCATTGTGGCAGCCAGTGTCGAGCCATCCTGTTGAAGGTCTTCTTTGTTTTCACTGCCCCTCGACTTCACGGAGCATGATGTCCTCCTCTGGGGACTGGCCTCTCCTGACAACGTGTCCAAAGTCTGTAACACGAAGTCTCGCCATCCTTGTCTCTGAGAAGCACTCTGACCACCGATTGGTTTGTCCTTTGGGCAGCCCATGACACTTTCCATGGTCCTTGCCAGCACCGTATGTCACATGCGTCAACTCTTCAGTGTTCCTCAGTCAAGGTCTCACTTTCTTTTTTTCTGACTTCTTTAACCGTTTTATTAGGGGCTCATACAACTCTTACCACAATCCATCCATCCATCCATTGTGTCAAGCACATTTGTACATTCATTGCCCTCATCATTCTCAAAACATTTGCTCTCCACCTAAGGCCCTGGCATCAGCTCCTC